ACCCCCATTCCCCCGCCTCTTCCCGCCTGCAATGAAAGAATCATAGTAAAGAAAAATGTATAGTTATTATCCAGGCACTTCAATATCGTAAATACCACCACTCTTCACCTGAATTGATTCCTTTTATTCATAAATGCATGAGCAGTAAACATGCTCACCTATACAACCTGGCCTCGAGTTCTATCTGAAAATGTTACAAGAATGTTTTTTAGGATGGCTATTTGTAGAATATCTGCTCAGAAAATAATGAAGAACATTTCTACGTCTGGGGCTTATAACATGTGATTTTCACTTGAATCGTTAACCATAGCCAAGCATGCACAGTAGATGTCTCGCACGACAGCACGGTCATTTGCTAAAACAAAGAAAAGAAGGTTTAAACGTTAAGAAAATTCATAGCTATCGTTATATACTTCGTAGTTCTGAAACAGCAAAATGTAATTTTGACAGGTGATGAGAACTTCTTGAATTAAGTCCACGCGAGAATCTTTTTAACTTTATACTTTATTCTTACTTTGGGTTAAGGCATGCAAAGACCACCACGGCTCCATTTTTAGTGTTATAATTGGGCCCCGTGGAAAAGAGCCCAAAGGAAGGTTCCTGGTCTAGTCCGGTAATGAAACCTTTTTTCATGGCCATTGGAATGGCAGCCTTTTTCATGGCGTCTGGGATAAGGTCTTTTCTGTACTGAGCCTTGTAGCCATTGGTCCAATGTAGGGTTTGGGACATTTCTTCGCCTGTGAATTAAGAAACAAATAGTGCCCTTCAATAGTATTGTTATATTATAAATTACTAACAGGAACATTATAAAGATTCATCATAACTATATCTTTTTACTTTATTGTTACTATGGGTCACCTATGGCTTACGAGCTTGTGTGTGGTCAGCGGTCTGACATTCATGGCGGCCATTTTGTTGTTGTGAATTAAGCTAGAGATTTACGTCAAATCAATTACTCGTTCACTTTAATCAAAAACATTTCGTGTGAAATTACTTTCAGATATTCTCCAATTAGTGTCAAAATTTCTGAAACGACATGCATATCCTCAGCAGGAGATGCATAGATTTCACTCCTCATATTTCTGTACCAACGTTGCCCTGCCTAAATTTTTGGAAAAATAATTTTATCGAACCGAAACTAAACAAAATTATAATCCAATGCTATCTATTCTACTCCAATGCTGTCAGAAGTTATTCAGTTTGCGTGTCATGAAATGACCAAGAATACTGTTACTTCACCTGGACGGTATGCTGGCCCATCGCAGCATTTTCAAACAGTTTGTTTTTTCTGTCACTCATAGATTCTCCTGAATGGAGAGAAGCACTGAGTGGCATAAGTGTGATTACCGTGAACACACAAAATTAATTGTGCAAGGATCAAATCTGAAGCTAATTACACCGTGACGTCAGTCCAGCGCACCAATCATCTAGTCCCGCTATCTTCGAATCCCCAGCTTACAATATTAATAAAGATTACCTTGACCGCAAGTGTAGTAAAACACAATGTCTAATCCGGTAGTGTCTGATCTTGTCCAGTGGAATTGTTTGCTCGGAGGACATCGGATTGATGTTGAGAATGGCTCAACTGTTCCAGAAATAAAATGACATTGGATATAATTTAATGAGAACACCATTATACTGTCGTATATAGTTGAAGAAGCTGTCACACATACTTTGCCAGTTACAGTACCTTGTGCTCTGAACGTCATTTATATTTATTTCACAGAAAGAAAATTGTCGCGAAACTCAGAGGAAAAAAAAAAAAAAAAAGCTGCGTTTGTATGTGCCTGGGATCATTTGTGAAGGAAGTTATATATGCGCAGTTAGGATACTCGTTAGAACCTTAGAGAACCTCAAAAGTGTTTTAAACTATCGATCTATATTTTGAGCATGCATGGTAGAGCACATCTCGTTTGAGTATTATGGTATGGTTTTAGTTTTGAATCTGATTGGTTGAGAGGATGGCGGGAGTTTTCTCGACCAATCACAGAGCGAAGTGAAGCAGAACCAAAGCAGCCCGAAAATTCGACCCTCCTCTCAGCTGTTGACTGATAACACACTTTCCCTCTCCTCTCACTCTTCCCCCTATTTCTCTCACTGAAAAGAATTCAAGGCAACGGAAACTTAATCAGAAATTTGTCACTTACTTAAAGCAGATGGAAGAGGATCAGATAAGGCCAAGACTCGTGTAAAGAACAATCCAAACACGGCGAGGAACGGAACCCACATGACTGAAAAACAAATGGTGTCGTTGTACTTTGAGACAGACCGGTCATACATTTGTCTCCCACAAATTCCTCATTTTTCACTTATTGTATCGAAGTACGTTTGCGACTAATTATTTTATGAAGTATCGTTCACGTCGCTATTCATGAGGCGCTGTTAAAGATTACATGTACCGATGACATACAACAACGCATTTCAGACGGAAAGTCTTTGGAACAAGCCACAGTCAATTGCAGAACCTACCGGCCATATCCCTTGGTCTCCTCACCGTTTTCTGCTGGACCACATCAAGCATAATTTGGTTTTAACAGCTGAGATGATACTGTAACTTGGCTACCGTATAGAGTGGCTTACGCAGACGTCTCGAACGTTAGCTCTTCGTCTTTCACTCTAACGATGGGCTAACGCTCGACAGGGTTAGTTTTAGACAGTCTTTCCGGTGGAGCCGTACCCCCCCCTCCCTCCCTTCTGTTTCTCCACGGGTGGAGGGTACAGCTGCACGAAGGCTACCTATTTACGTTATCAGCTCAGTTGATAAAACCAAATTATCTTGTAATAATCACCCCTCCCCCCACTGACGCAGCACCACATTTTCCTTAGAAACTTATCCCCCTTCCCCTCTCCCATGAGGCATTTCGTCAGGGTTCCCGGCGAGTAATAAAACTGTGTCGATAAAAAAAGACAATACAATGGATTTTAATACGTTCAGCTCCTTCACAACATGCGTCTTGCACTGAGAATTTTATCAGTGGTCTTACGGTTTGTTTGTCCTACGCTCTTCTGCTAAATTTTCATTTCTTCCCCTCTTTTTCTACTGTGGAGTTGACTAAAGTGATCAGGGCTGCTATTTGCCACTTCTGGCATTTCTAATCTTGGTACCTGCAAACCCAAACACTTGGTACCTGCTCTTTACACAATGGAGATCGTTTAAATAAAGATACTAGTAGTATACGTTAGGAAACACGTTTCAGTTTGTATTGCACAAAGCCCGCTGGTCTCAGAATGCATCGTGCATTTAGCCGTGTCGACACAAACAAACCCAAATGCGAAAGTTGCAAGAAACCCCATGACTTCTGCATTTACAGACAGATCAAATTTATGTTTCAAGTTGAAACTAATTGATCTTCGAGTACCTTCACATCGAGGGGACATTTATGGAATCGAAATTTGTGAAATAAAGTCTATATTGTCACTCAATTCAATGTTTGTGCGAATGTTGCACTTGACGAACGTAAGACTGGGATTTGAATCGAAACCGCTCTCCTGTGTCAAAAGGACAACGACTCTAGTTACAGATACAACCGCAGTAGGAGGGGTTGTTTGAAAGCGTTGAAACCGAAAATGAAACCATTGTTGGAACTCTGACAGGGAACAGTATACAGCTCGTTGAATTTAAACCAAGATCCATTAGGCTTACATGTATTAAGAAATAATTTGGATTTCACTCACCTTTAGAAAATATAGCTACAGATCCAAAAGATTATCAAAACACACTAAAGACGAATATTTAATGAGGAGTTTCCAGAAACCTAATCATAACTGGTGGTGATCGTGTCTTCTATTAAGCGCATGCTCGCATGCGCAGTTCAGAAGGATCTTTACAGCGCTCACGTTATCTCCTAGTGTTGTCTCTTGACTATGCGAATGAACCTAAGCTCTGTAAGATTAAATTCGACAGGAAGAAATTTTCACTAAATATTCTCTACTACTTTTATTTTTGGAAGTTCGGTTGTCGGTGGCAGCTAGCATTGATTATGATAACGACACTGTGATAAGGGTATCACTGTTTAGCCAAGCGGAAAGCGAAGCTACTGAAACATGGAAATTCCAGTGTGCATTGACTGCCTTCCAATCGTTGCTGATAAACAATTTGACAGTTTTCTTCGATTAGATAGTAGTCTAAATCAAGAGAGGTTTTAATTGCGTCGTTGATTCAATCTATCACAGCATGTGAAGGCTCCATCTCTATTAAAATATCTCCTTGAAAGTTCGACGTTCACTCTCTCAAAGTCGCGCCTCTTTGGCGCGAGCGTGTGCGAACGTGGATTCTATCCTTGTTCTGAGTTTTGCGCATGTGCATTCATTGTTTAACAGCGAGAAAATATATAAGATTTATTTTCAGTGAGTCTCATTAGGTCACATTAGTGAGTCATTATTAGGTCTCATAAAAAGTGACACAGCTCCGCTGTACAAACTTTCAATCAGCAGAATTCAAATGTACTGACTTTGCATGATAAAATATGCGGCTAAAAGAACATGTTCGCACACGTCTAGTAATGCGGTGAATTCACCCGTGATAATCTGATTTACTCACATCGTAAGCATGGACCATAGCCTGCATTTCAGCTTTCGGCTCAAAACAGGAAATTGCCACACATTGGTAGACATAACACAGTCGTGTACTTGTGGGTTTTGTGTCTTTGCAAATGTTTAGAAGACAAAAGTTTACATCTTGTTGAAAGATTAAATAGGTCAATAGGTCATAGTATTCAAGAGTTCCTTATGAAGGAAAATAATGTTTTTGGCGTGTGCAGATGTACACGTCGGCATTGAACAAAATCTCTCGATTTCCCGCTTGGCTGAAACCGCCCATAGGCATTTTTATACGTCAAGATTAGTCGAAACAAAGACTCTATGTGTAATGGCCCCCTTTGTCTTTTTTGCTATAGGTTTTGTTTGTTTGTAATAAAAGTACTGAAGGCACCGGATTCAGCAGAATACTAGAATTTTCACTGAAATGACTTCTTATTCTTGGGTTTCACCCA